ATAAGAGGCTTTGTATATAGTATGTCACTGATGTCAGCTATGGTCTGTATAAGTTGTATCGTGTACTTGAAGAAATAAAGATTATAATAATAATAATAATAATGAAAAATAATGATTAAAAAATAATAATAATAATAATGATAATAATGATAATAATAATAATAATAATAATAATAATATTATTATTATTATTATTATTATTATTATTATTATTATTATTATTATTATTTTATATTTTAAAAGAGGGTTAAAATCTCAATATATCAAGGCTGAGAAACATATAATTTAGTCCCTGGTCATAACATACATTATTAAGCAAAACACAAACATGTTATACACTCTGACAATAACTGTTATTGTGCAAATTTATATTTTAGCATGAGTGGCACGTCAGAGCCAATCAACGGTTAGTATTGAGTCGTGTAAGGCTCCCGGCCAATCACAAGAGCCTAATCGAAGACACACAGAAAGTAAACAAAAGAGCTCCATTCCCATATCTACCTCTGGCGGAGTAAGGTTAAGTTACGGTAGTTATTTTAAGTTGGGGTGCGGTGAATTGACTTATGATAGATTAAGTTTCTTAACGTTTCCACTAAAAAAAAAAATCCTAACCCACATAATATTTGACATTTTAAGGAATAAATTATCGATCAACTCAGAACAGGATCTAAAGCTAACACCGAGAATCGAATCCCGGTCCGTCAGTGTGTGAGCTGAGGCCCCTGGGTTTATCGTAGATAATTACCGTATGATAACTGTCCTTATGTGTACCTATATCTAAATAAATTTACAGGATGGCCGGACAGACAACACTCTAACCTCACACATTGCCTGTCAATAATAATAATAATAATAATAATAATAATAATAATAATAATAATAATAATACATTTCGACATGATACATTTTTGTACAAATATATAATACATGCGAAGCATTCCAGGCAAACTTTAAACTAATTTAAGATTATTAAGACAATAACTACATATGATCATTATGTGAGTTACAATAAATACAAGAGAATTGAATATTCCATTAGGTGGTGCTATATGACTTTTATATCTTGTAGAGGAGAATTACAAATTTGATTATTAACTTCAGGTGCACATAATGGAGTGATTAACATTTGGGATAAATACAGATATTGAGAATAAGTATATGTTGAGTATAAAGTTTGACCTATGTTCATAATATTGAGCAAATATATGTGTAGTCTTTACATATGTTTATATATGGTTCAATCCCAGGCACAGGTGGAAATATTGGGGGGGGGGGTTCCTTACACCTGCTGTCACTGTTCATCTAGCAGAAAGTAGGTACCTGGATGTTGGTTATCTTACACCTGCTGTCACTTCATCTAGCAGTAAGTAGGTACCTGGATGTTGGTCATCTTACACCTGCTGTCACTGTTCATCTAGCAGTAAGTAGGTACCTGGATGTTGGTTATCTTACACCTGCTGTCACTGTTCATCTAGCAGTAAGTAGGTACCTGGATGTTGGTCATCTTACACCTGCTGTCACTTCATCTAGCAGTAAGTAGGTACCTGGATGTTGGTCATCTTACACCTGCTGTCACTTCATCTAGCAGTAAGTAGGTACCTGGATGTTGGTCATCTTACACCTGCTGTCACTGTTCATCTAGCAGTAAGTAGGTACCTGGATGTTGGTTATCTTACACCTGCTGTCACTGTTCATCTAGCAGTAAGTAGGTACCTGGATGTTGGTCATCTTACACCTGCTGTCACTTCATCTAGCAGTAAGTAGGTACCTGGTTTTGGGGTCATCTTAAAACCTGCTGTCACTGTTCATCTAGCAGTAAGTAGGTCCCTGGATTTGGTTATCTTACACCTGCTGTCACTGTTCATCTAGCAGTAGGTAGGTACCTGGATGTTGGTCATCTTACACCTGCTGTCACTGTTCATCTAACAGTAAGTAGGTACCTGGATGTTGGTTATCTTACACCTGCTGTCACTGTTCATCTAGCAGTAAGTAGGTACCTGGATGTTGGTCATCTTACACCTGCTGTCACTGTTCATCTAGCAGTAAGTAGGTACCTGGATGTTGGTTTATTTTACACCTGCTGTCCTGTTCATCTATCAGTAAGTAGGTACCTGGATGTTGGTTTTCTTACACCTGCTGTCACTGTTCATCTAGCTGAAAATTTAGGTACCTGGATGTTGGTCATCTTACACCTGCTGTCACTGTTCATCTAGCAGTAAGTAGGTACCTGGATGTTGGTTATCTTACACCTGCTGTCACTGTTCATCTAGCAGTAAGTAGGTACCTGGATGTTGGTCATCTTACACCTGCTGTCACTGTTCATCTAGCAGTAAGTAGGTACCTGGATGTTGGTTATCTACCCCTACTGTCACTGTTCATCTAGCAGAAAAGTAGGTACCGGGATGTTGGTCATCTTACCCCTGCTGTCATGTTCTTTCTAGCAGTAAGTAGGTCCCGGGGATTTTGGGTCATCTTACACACTGCTGTCACTGTACATCTAGCAGTAAGTAGGTACCTGGATGTTGGCCCATCTTACACCTACTGTCACTGTTCATCTAGCAGTAAGTAGGTACCTGGATGTTGGCCCATCTTACACCTACTGTCACTGTTCATCTAGCAGAAAGGGTAGGTCCGGGATGTTGGTTTCTTACACCTGCTGTCACTGTTCATCTAGCAGTAAGTAGGTACCTGGATGTTGGTTATCTTACACCTGCTGTCACTGTTCATCTAGCAGTAAGTAGGTACCTGGATGTTGGTCATCTTACACCTGCTGTCACTGTTCATCTAGCAGTAAGTAGGTACCTGGATGTTGGTAAATTTTACACCTGCGTCACTGTTCACTGCAGTAAGTAGGTACCATGGATGTTGGTTATTTTAACACTGCTGTCACTGTTCATTCTAGCATTTAAGTAGGTACCTGATGTTGGTCATCTTACACCTGCTGTCACTGTTCATCTAGCAGTAAGTAGGAAACCGGGATGTTGGTTATCTTACACCTGCTGTCACTGTTCATCTAGCAGTAAGTAGGTACCTGGATTTTGGGTTTCATCTTACCCCTGCTGTCACTGTTCATTCTAGCAGTAAGTAGGTACCTGGATGTTGGTTATCTTACACCTGCTGTCACTGTTCATCTAGCAAGTAAAGTAAGGTACCTGGATGTTGGTCATCTTACACCTGCTGTCACTGTTCATCTAGCAGTAAGTAGGTACCTGGTGTTGGTCATCTTACACCTGCTGTCACTGTTCATCTAGCAGTAAGTAGGTACCGGGATGTTGGTTATCTTACACCTGCTGTCACTGTTCATCTAGCAGTAAGTAGGTACCTGGATGTTGTTATTTTACACCTGCTGTCACTGTTCATCTAGCAGTAAGTAGGTTACCTGGATGTTGGTTTAAATCTTACACCTGCTGTCACTGTTCATCTAGCAGTAAGTAGGTACCTGGATGTTGGTCATCTTACACCTGCTGTCACTGTTCATCTAGCAGTAAGTAGGTACCGGGATGTTGGTTATCTTACACCTGCTGTCACTGTTCATCTAGCAGTAAGTAGGTACCTGGATGTTGGTCATCTTACACCTGCTGTCACTTTTTCTTTCTAGCAGTAAGTAGGTACCTGGATGTTGGTCATCTTACACTTGCTGTCAATGTTCATCTAGCAGTAAGTAGATATCTGGATGTTAGTCCTTACACCTGCTGTCTCTGTTCACCTAGCAGTAAGTAGGTACCTGAATGGTAGTCACCTCACCTGCTGTCACTTCACCCAGCAGTAAGTAGGTACCTGGGTGTTAGTCACCTTACACTTTCTGTCACTTCACCTAGCAGTAAGTAGGTACCTGGATGTTAGTCACCTTATACCTGCTGTCACTGTTCATCTAGCAGCAAGTAGGTACCTGGATGTTAGTCCTTACACCTGCTGTCTGTTCACCTAGCAGTAAGTAGGTACCTGAATGTTAGTCACCTCACCTGCTGTCACTTCACCCAGCAGTAAGTAGGTACCTGGGTGTTAGTCACCTTACACCCGCTGTCATTGTTCATCTAGCAGTAAGTAGGTACCTGGATGTTAGTCACCTTACACCCGCTGTCATTGTTCATCTAGCAGTAAGTAGGTACGTGGATGTTAGTCACCTTACACCCGCTGTCATTGTTCATCTAGCAGTAAGTAGGTACCTAGGTGTTAGTCACCTTACACCCTCTGTCACTGTTCATCTAGCAGTAAGTAGGTACCTGGGTGTTAGTCACCTTACACCTGTTGTTAATGTTCACCTAGCAGTAAGTAGGTTCTTTGGTGTTAGTCACCTTACACCTACTGTCACTGTTCACCTAACTGTAAATAGGTAGCTAGGTGTTAGGTGACTGGTGTGGGAGGCATCCTGGGGGACAAGATTGAAGGACCACAATAGAAATAAGACAGACACAGTCCTGCCTTGGGTTATCCTGGGAGGCTAACCCTCCCCCGGGTTAAAAATCCAAACAAAATCTTAAGATTTCGTTCGGATTTTTAACCCCGGAGGGTTTGCCTCCCAGGATAACCCATGAAAGGCAGTGGTTATCGAGGATTGTCTGTCTTACATCCATTGAGGTCCTTAATCTTGCCCCCAGGATGCGACCCACACCAGTCGACTAATACCCAGCTACCTATTTGCTATGTATGACCATTTATATAAGTATAAACTCGGCATGATAATGACTTTTTTTGTAACAATGAAATTATGAAATGTAAACACACATTGTAACTTCAACAAAGAAATAAAATTTATTTTTATTTTATTTTTACTTAATAATGTTCTGTGGCTGTGTTTTTGTAAGAAAATTTACGTCTAGACGGCCACGACTAGAGATTCTTTTAATAAAACTTTTATTTATATTCTCGTCTATAATTTCCTCCGGGTAAATTTATTTTACTTGTTAATGTAAGATATTAAAAGTAGTCTGTGAGCGATATATGTTAACAGTATATAAGTGTGTGTAATAGTAATTAATACAATAATTTATGGAGTAAAGGAACGGGAGTGTGGACAAGCGGCAGACATCACTGACACAAACGTAAACTGTTGGGGTCAAGCTGCTTCACTACTCTAGAAGGAACCTCTCAGTAGACTGCAGTTATAATCAAGATGAAACCTCTCCAATAAAGTGCACCTGAAGAAACCTCTCAGTAAGTTACAAGTGTCCTGAGGAAGAAGTCTCTGCTGTGTATTACTGACCTTACTTCACCTCCTTGAAAAAGGTTAGTGGGATTGAGAATATTGTTAAAAAAGCGCCTTCTCAGCTTGAAAGTGATTATGATAATCAAATATAAGTGTCAAACACGTCTATTGTAACCTGTCTGTCAGTTTCCATTCAATATTCATTCTCTTGCACTTCCTGACTTCCACAAATTTTCTGCAAAGACCCCATTGGAAATAAGTCACTTTCTGACTTTTTTTTTTTTTGGTGGGGTTATCTTAGGTAATTTAGACTATATATTATAATTATACTTATTTGAACCTGTGCCTAAATAAACTTACTTACACTCGAGAAATTCGCAAAAATTTCTTTCCCTCCAATTTTACATTTTTCTTATAAATGTCAACAAGAGGGCGAGGCCCCCATACATTTATTTATAAGTGACAGGCTTCTCAGGGCCCATGGTGATGGTGTGGCTTGAACCCATGCCAAAAGACAATTAATTTCTTTATTAATATTGGTAGAATTACTGACATTATGTTAAGAACATAAAAAAGAAGGAACACTGCAGCAGGCCTACTAACCCATGCGAAGCAGGTCCATGTCCCCCCCGATTAGCCCAATGACCCACCTAGTCAGGTCACTTCCACTTAAGGAAGGAGCAAGGCATCAGACCTAGTAGCACAAGCTAGTCAGGTCCAAATCACACCCACCCACACTCACTCATGTATTTATCTAACCTATTTTTAAAACTACACAACGTTTTAGCCTTTGTAAATGTAATCAGAAGTTTGCTCCACTCATCCACAACTCTATTACCAAACCAGTGCTTTCCTATATCCTTCCTGAACCTGAATTTTTCCAACTTGAAACGCTGGAAATTTTCAGCACACTATTTACATCCCCTTTATTTATTTCTGTTTGTGGAAAATTACATTTATCTGGATGTAACTCATAATGTACATACCAGTAAATAACAAAGATAATTATTATTTATCAGTTAGACAAGTAGGAATTTGGGACACCTAGGTCACAAAAAATGTCCCCCTTCGATACCTACCACTGTCATATCCACAAGTTGCTCTGGACCTATTAATTATAAATAAAAGATACATCACCAGGAATTCTGGTAAATATATAAATTTGTGGACTGTATATTAAAAATAATAAATGATTATATATACACATATACATAACAGAAGGAGAATATCTTAAATCACTCACCAATTTGACTGGAGAATAATGTGTATCAATACTCAAAAACCTCCACTGTCTAAATCTATAAAAATAACACTGGCCAGGTTACTACATAAGACTTATCTGAGGTTCCTGGAGCTGTCTTGTCCTGTCGCCTGATTATCTCGAAGTTATAGCAGGAATGCATGTCCAACAATTTCGCCTCCTATTTTGAGAGGTGTCACCCAATTTTAACCTCTAAGCACGAAAAATTCTTCCCATTACACTAACGTTGTATCCATTCAAACAAAAAGGCGAGAGTGTCTCTGCGCAGATGCAGGCTTTCCGTTTTCTATGACATAAATATTATTAAATACAATATGGCCATCTGTATACATAAACTACTGTATTTTCTGAAAATATATACAGTATTTTCCACACGCGGCCAGGGCGGAGTTCGTTGCTAAACGACTCAAATACTCCTTCCCTTTAGGAGTACGATTCCAGCTGGTTCGGCTTGAGTGGTCATGTTCTCCTAGTAGGTCTTACTACGATTTCATTTTCCGGCATCACTTGGTCAGCGTTATCTTCCATATCACTCGTGTATCACTTTCTCCTCAGATTTTCATTTACGTTTGATTGAACACCTAATTCCAAGGGAAATCAATTTATTAATTTGTGCGTAAACTTTCCTGCTACGACACAACACTTTGACATTCCTGACAACACCTTGTGCATCTGGTACAATGTCATACTTTGCCTAGAGGCCACAATGTTCGATATTGGTTCAGTATCAATCAACACTATGTCACCTGGTTGAATTGTTCTGTCGATTTACTGCCTCTGTCGCACCATAAAAATGTTCACGTAGTGTAGAAGATATTCCTTACGCCACACATTAGACCAATGATCAATTACTTTATTTAACTTTTTAAATTATCACACAACACTTGCCGCATCATGTAATCTTCATCACTTTCTTCCAGATTATCTCTATAGACAGGGGCAGCTTCCAATTTCCTTCCACATATTAGGTGAGAAGGTGTTAATACATCTGCAACATGTGTATCACTCATGTACGAGAGAGGCCTATTATTTAAACGATTTTACCGCCTCCAACTAACACTGCATGGAATTCTTCCAAATTAATTCTCTTCCAGTGCAAATACTTAGGAGACACCTCTTCACTGTGCCTATCAGTCTTTCGTACAGCACCCCTGCCAAGGGGCTCTAGGAGTAATAAATTTCCAGGTACACCCTCGCTGGGTTAACAGAGTTTGAACATCGTTACTATTATTTAATTCTATCAAGTGTTGAGCACCTGCTACAAAATTTGTGGCATTATCCGAAATCCAACCTTGGACAGGATCTCCTAGCTGCAAATTTTTGAAACAGCTGTATAAACTGTTTCTGCAGACAAGTCCTGTGCCACTTCTAAATGAACTGCCCTAGTAGCAGTACAGGTGAACAAACAACAACTACACTTTCAGTGGAACACCATTTGACGTACCTGTATAAAATTATTGGACCACTATAGTCTACAACCTGTTACATCAAATGATTTCACTAATTGTACACGTTCCTTTGGCAATGGTGGAGGACCTAGGTACATATAGGATCTGGCATCCACACGGCGACATATTACACAAGATTTAATCACCCTTTTACACTTTGCCGGTCCTGTGGAATCCAGAAAGTTTCCCTAATACAATTTAAGGTATCTTGTACCCCACCATGAATTACATTTTTAATGGGCATTTAGACAATCAAATTTGTTAGATGAGTTTTGGGCAGTAAGATAGGGTGTTTAGCATAATCACACAATTCAGCATTTTGTAACCTACCTCTGCACCTAATTATATTGTTCTCTAAATACAGCCCCAATTTCTCTATATGGAACCTTTCATAATTTTTCTTTCCATCATCAATTTAATCTCATTTCCATAGATTTCCTCCTGTACCCTCTTTATCCAATATTCAAGAGGATGTGAAACTTAAATGAAATATTCATCTTGTTTAGAAATTTAAACACCAACTTAGTTACATTGATTAGTTTGGGTAAAGAAGAATACCTGTTTATATCAATGGCTAAGGAAGGACAAACTATTGGAGCGGTGGTCACAGTAATTTCAACAGGAGCAATATACACCTTTTGTACAGGCCAATTAGCTTTATTTACCAACCAACTCGGTCCTTATAAACCATGATTACAGCATTTACAAAAGCATAAGGTAAACCTCGAGACAAGAAACTAGCTGGATTCTCCCTCACCAGGTATATGATTAAATGTTAACATATGCTGACCACAACTATTATACTTTTGCGATCTGATTAAATTTCAGCGACTCTGTTTTGTACGTACACAATTTTACTGGTTTCCATTACGAATCCATTGCAAGGATACCTCATTATCAGACCAAATTAAAGTGTCGCTAATATTTATCTCCTGCAACTTATTTCTTATATAATTAGCTAATTTGACACCTACATAAATGGCTGTTAATTCCAACTGAGGCAAGTAACGTGATTTAATTGGAGACACTTTAGCCTAAGACATAACAAGAGAAATAACACTATTACATTGAAGTAAGCAACTGCTCCATAATGCCAATTTTGAAGCATCGCAAAAAAATGTGGAGTACATTTTTCCCATTTGGATTGGCCACCTGGCGTGGGAACTCCAACATTGGAATTTTCTCATAATCGCCAATTAATTCATCCCACCTGTTAATGAATTCCTCAGGTAGTATTTCATCCCAAGCACATTTAAGTTTCCATGCTTCCTGTATTAATAATTTCCCTCTTATAGTAAGGGGTGACACTAAACCTAGTGGATCAAAACATTTGGAAACTTCAACAAGCAAAACTCTCTCAGTTAATTTATTGGGCATACTGTAATTATTAGGTTTTAACATTAACAAATCTCTCTCAGTATCCCAAGTTAATCCTAATACATTACTATATTTTAGCATTTCATCTCCAGGGAAATCTTTACTTATTTTGTCCTTTAATTTGGACGAATTACTATTCCATTCCCTCAGAGGCATATTTGCATTTTGCATTATTTCACTAGCCTCTCCGTAAGTCATTAACAGTTCCTCTTCAGTTGACGTCACACCCAGGAAATTGTCCACATAAAATTGTTTGCTCATTACTTTACTCAATGGACTTCCCGTACGTTTAAGGTGTGCATTTATCGTCGCTTGAAGTAGGAACAGACTGGATGTAGCACCAAATAATACACTCCTAAAGCGAAAGGTTTTCAGAGGGCTAAGTGGGTCAATAGGATTCTCAGGCCATAAGAAGCGGGTTCAATCGCGGTCAGCCTCTTGTAAACCCACTCTTAGGAAAGCTTTACTTATCTCAGCCGTAAAGGCATAGTGCTTCACTCTGAAATTTAATGAGATATCTCCTAATTTTTCCGTCAACGACGGACCTCTCATCTAACAGTCATTTAAACTAGGTACATTTTTGTTACTCCTGGCACTACAATTAAACACAATTCTCAGAGGAGTGCTCTTAGAATCCTTCTTCATTCCGTGATGTGGCAAATAGTGACCATAAATTTTGGCTTGCTCAGGAGGTACCTCTTATATAAATTTATTAATTAACTGCTCAGCAATTATATCATTATAGGGAGTTAACAATTCTGGTGTCTTACTCAGTTCGCGGAGCTGAGCCTTTAATTGTCCATATGCCATTCTGTAATTAGTGGGCAATTCTGGACGGTTCAGTCTCCACGGAAGTCGTACCCAGTATTGTCCAGATTCAAATTTTACATCTCTCAGGTATTGCTCCTGAGTAAAAGAATCGTCTGGACTTTCCTCATTTACATTTATTCCAATGCTGTCTAATTCCCACAATTTATGCACTGGCTCAACACCA